GAATGTTTAATTTTAATTGGTTTGGCAACAAGGGATTTGGGTTTTGTTTCAATACTAAATTTATTTTTTAACAGTAGACCTAAAATCATATCAAATGTCTAATTCAGAATGGTATGTCTTAAATGGACTTGGCTGAACGAGCTTAAATTATGACTGAAAACTTTATTAATACTAATAATGGTATTTTGGTAGTGATGAACAAAATAGTTTCTTTACCTTAGTCAGTGTATGCAATTAGCTTGGGATGGTATTGGGTGAAGGGGGTATTGTCATTAAGGAGAGACAAATGATTGTCTTTTTGCATGTCATTTGCTCATCTTGTTCACCTTGTCATATCAACAATACTGGTTTTACGAATGCGGCGTGAGTTTAACACCCAAATGAATACACATGAATGGGCAATAACCTTTGTGGCAAAAAAAGTTGTCATTGTGAGGAATATTTGCGGCACAGAGTGACCACTGGTGGCAACGACAGGTTGACATTGACGGATCACTTTGAGGAAATGGACAGATTTTAAAAAGGCCATATTGTAATAATTGACAGGATTAGGCCCTAAAGCTAGTATAGGGATCCCATGTCAGTTTAGCTACTTTTGTCTCCCAATTGCATTTACTGCTGTAACCTGGATAGGGAGACTGTGGCCTGTGTTGGAATTTCCTGTATAAACCCTGTTTCTATGGCAGGAAACTAGTGGTATGGAAAGTCTATAAAAATTGGCTGCCAGTGTCCCTAGTTGTGTTGCCACAGGCATACTTGCCCCGATAGTTGTGTAGATATATGAACAGAGGAGGAGCCACACTGATATTACAAACTTTATGTACTTTGATATTTGGAGAAGTCTTGTCTTTCTGGGTTTTGTTGGCTATGAGATAGCTGTGCTGTGGGTGAGTTGGATCAGCTTGGTGTTATTCTGGTGTGGGTTGCCACAAGTACTCTTAAGAAAATCACTCTCACTCATTGAGTATATTAAGTTGAATTACTTTTGTTGTCAATATTTTGTATTCATGGATTATTTTTGAATGCTGTATGTTTTTCTTAGTTTTATTTAACGAACACTTTGTGTTAATATCACTGGAAAATCTACATGATAGAATTTTTGTAATTATTCTGTTAAAAATGTATATGCATATACATGATATAAGTGATATATGTTAAAGAAATCTTATGCTGTTCTAACCTTTGCAAAAAAGGTTTAGAAAAAGTAGTTTTTGAATTGTTGTTGAAGTAAGTGCTTTTGTAAGATTTCTGCACAAATTGTTACAGAAACATGCATTTGTTCATTGCAAAATTCATGATAGAATTTTCAATTTTTGAATGCATATATCATGGTGTGTATAAACATGACCATATTTTATATGTGACATAGGGTTATTGTTGCTAAGGGCTTGCTTCGGTGTCAACAGTTGGAATGATTGATATTTTTCATCAAAATGTCATTTTTGTTTCCCTACATGTAGTGCATGAAGGACACTGTTCACATCATGTCACCCACAAGGCTAGACAGCTCACCTCTCATGGAGAGAAGCACAGGCTGCAGCCAGTGATCTTTTGATTAACTACCATTATCATTTATTCATAATATGTTAAGAAACTCAATCTTTTCCTTTAATTTGACTTGCATCTCATGAAAGTTAATATCCCTATCAATTCAGGCAAAACCAAATCATTGATTGTGCATTTTTTTTTGTCGCTTGTAGAATAACGTCTAGAAGTAGGTGCGTTCATGTTAAAAAACAATCGAGCTTGACTATTATGTTTTTGTTGCCATAACAAGTGCAAGATCTTTCTGTTTCCATGGTATGAGGTGGCCAGGATAAACTATTCATGTCATGTTAATTTGAACGGGCATTTCTAATGTGAAATAATAGTTTCTAAGTGCTGGCTATTGTCTTGGAGGTGAGATATGCTTGATGTTTTTATCCATTTAACAGGGAATAATTGTGATGTTATAGATTAGTTTTGTCGATTGTTGGGAGGATTAACAGTGTTCCTGACACGCATCATGTGTTTCATGTTAGGCTTCGTTACTATAGCATCAGATATCAATATGTGTAATGTCGGCCTATATTGTACAGTCTACATGGAAACTCCTACAGCCTCAGTGGGGTTTACTCTAGGGAATAAAGTAAGACTGATTATGCTGGAACTTGGTGATAGTACCTGCTCACATTTCACACAAGATTGGTTTTGTTGTTTGGAGAAATTGACTATCTTATGTCACCATGTCCTTAGTGATAATTTGCCATCTACCAAGTTTCAGTTAGAGTGGACAGGTTATTCATTGGAATAATTTACAACAGGTTAATAAAGTGGCTGTAAAACACATGTGAAACTCTATATTTTGGTTAGAAGAGGCTGAGCCTGTTGCCATGGTGACAAAATTTGGTCAATTTTAAGTGAGCGAGCAACATCAGGAATTATTTGCTTGGTAATAATAAATATTTTGTTTTGACTTGGTGAAATGTTTCTGTAAAGTTATGTTTCTGTAAAGTTACCTCTTCATATTCTTTTTTTTTGATATATGCACAGGGGTGGAAAAACTTTAAAATTGCTAGTGTACTCAGGTACAGTGGCACATGTAAAATCACTTGCCCTGATAATTTTTTCCACTATACCGGCCGTTTTCTTGTTGATTTTTTAAAATAAACAACTTAATTAACATTGGAAAGTCAACTGGACACCGGTACAGTGTGATATACAAATTTGCTTGCCCCTACAGAAAAAAACACTGGACTCGGACGTCAGGCAATGGGTTATTTCCACCCCTGAATGCATATGATATTCCGAAAATGAATCCATTTTTCAGTAATAGATAATGTGCGTTTTTATATTTCTGTATGAGTATTTGAACAAACTAATTTGTACAAGACATGGGTAGGTTGGTGCTTCTATATTACTTAATCATACAAGAACAGTATAACAGTAAATTCTGACAATAGTACTAGTAGCTGAATAGTGTAGAAATTAACCCAAGCAAAGGAAACATCTATCACTAGCTTCATGTAACTCCACAACTGGGAAATATTTTATTATTTATTTGTCAAAGTACTTTACAATTGAGCTGATATTAACTCAGAGTTAATAAATATTTCATTGCGAGAACATATTTCATGAGAATTGTGTCGGCACTAAACTGTATGTAGACAAATTCTAATAAAGTGAGTAATTTCCCTGAGAAATTCAGCTGGTTCGGTCCCAAGCCTTTGTTGCTAGTGTAATAACCTGCATTTGATCTGTTTAGTATAATTTGGCTATGAATGGTTGCCATAACGATGTCATTTAAGAATGTTGAGCATTGATATGTGGCAGCTAGCTCAGTCAGCAACTGTGTGAATACACCAAACATCAATCCACGTTGACATTTCACCAAAATACGACTCCAATAGAAAATTATTCAAATTGCCACAATTTAGTGAGAAACTGTAAATTGGGGTGAAAATTGATATATCCAGTGCCACGGAATGAGCTTCGTTGCAGTTTCACTCAGTTTTTGAATGTCAAAAGTTTATCCAATATATCTGAATCATGTGAATTATGGGTAAATTTATTGGAAGAATGTCGTCCGTGAGAAAATGGACTTTGATCGACTCAAATTGCTTACATTAGCAGAACTGTGATTTATATTGTATTGATATATGTAGTGCTAATTACATGGTGGTGAATAACACTAGCCCCTGTAATTGATGCTTAATCATCCAGCTATGTAGGTTTCAGTATGTGGATGACAAATCCAATAATTTTCCATATTCATGTCATCGTAAATGGGAAAATCTAGTTCTAAACTTGTTCTTTCACCCTGTAAACATTTGTTGTGCATCATGGGAGCTGAAAACATGTCATTTTGAAGGATAATTCTGTTTTATTGAGTAAATTTCAATTGTGTGAGATATAGATAATTTCACTTCACCTACATGCTTATGACATACCTATTGAAATTATTTTGGACTAAGTCACCTTATTTCGCCTATTCATCTTTGGCTTATTAAATACTGTGTGTGCTGATTTCTTTTTAATACAAGCCACAGAATAGTACGCTCTTGGGCTTGTACACATGACTGTGTTCGTTCATATGTACTATACTCCTTGTGGCTGGTTGGGAAAATATTTTTGGTATTTAGTCCAAAGTTATATGTATGTAGGGACCTCTTAATTTTTTTATTTTAACATCATGACAAGGATTGGAACACTGAACTTAGTGATTTTCCTGCATTTTCACATGTGTAATTTTTCAATTCTCAAAGCTTATTGGTCAGTTGCAGTACAGTGTTCACGAATGGTGTTTCAAAGTAACAGGACGTTGGGTCCTGTAAGTTTCAGATGTCTGTCTGACCCATTGAAAATGCACAGGACCCATAGAATGAAATTAAACACACATTTCAGATTTAATATTTCTTATATTTGGCATTGAAATTATTAACGAACATAAGATTTATAAACAGCAAACAAGTGGCACATGTCAAACATATCAAATTCAGTCAAAGTCATTGTGAAATATACAGTCAGACACTGGGGCCGGCAGGTTGTAGACTTCTATCAGACCGTTGCCGGATTTGTCAGAGGGTCAGACGATATTCGTAAACACTGCAGTACCATCAGTCCAGATCGTTGTGTATTAAGTACAATACAAAACGACATCTTCCATTATTCATGACATCACTATTTGATAATATTACTCATTTTCATAATTTGCTAACATCAGTGAAGCATCACTTCAGGAACATGTAATTACTTATCATTTCACATTATGAATAAATACCATTTTTTTAAACAAAATTGTCATGCTTTGATGGAAGTATAGCCTATGTGATGTGAAGTTTTAACTCACTCCTTTCCTTATGGCTCAGGACTTTCATCATTCCTTTTCCTCAACTTTTGGCAGTTAATCCATACTTCACTGGCTTTTATGGTTGGTTTATTTTTATGAATGGTTCTTCTTTCTCTTTGAAATGTTTGATTTGGGTGAATGAAAATGTGACAAATATTTTTGTCATTTACAGGTTGTACAGTTCTCTCGTCATGTGATCTGGCCACATAACAACAAGATATAACCCTTGGTCAAACTGCTGATATGGCGCTTTCTCTGAAACTTGGCAAGCTGGATGCCATCTGTGCCAAACTCAAATCCCACACACCAGAAGCACCGAGTTCTAACGACAATGATGAGGCCTCTCTTTCGGAACCATCAGAGGCCTCAGAAAGCAACAACAACAACCAGAAGACCCTTGACTTCAACGGAAGTGTGCCTCTAAAGCCAGTTGCTCCGTCCACCCCATCATACAACCTGCACCTCTTCTTGCTTCGACACCAGACACAGCCAAAACTTACCAGGCAGCTACACCCAAGTCATCAAAATCAAGTGGTCGCAAGAAAAGTCGAAAATCTGCTTGCCCAAGGAATCTAGCCCAATATGAAGATGTCAAATTCTCTGAGGTTACAGGGAAGGATGAGTTGGGTCCATTTGAGATCAACAATCAGAACACAGACTTTCCACCAGACCAAGAACAGGCGGATGAATTGCTTGCTCAGGACTTGTCTGTGGACAGTTCTCGTGCCACCTCACCTGGTGACCTTGACCCTTCCTCACAGATAGATTCAATGGCAAGTGATAAGGAGGATTCTATATGTTTAGAGAAGTCAGAATTTAACTCTAGTTCCTATGCCAGTTCAGGTTTCCCCCTTGACCTGTCGGTCAGTCGCACTGCTGATGATGCAAGCGTCAATGGTAGCCCTCGATCAGCCGATAGTGACAGAGAAAGCACGTTCCAGTCAACGTTGGAGTCACCGAATCATGCTGCTGACCTCTCTACCAGTCACGTGACACCAGATTCTCCTGTAAAACCAATGGTATCAGCTGAAGCGCGTGTTCTTCAGGACTATGCAAAAAACACAATGAATGAACTGCTCAGTATTTATGGTTTTGGTGGGTCTGCTGATTCCGTCACCAAACAAATACCTCTCACAAACTTTACATTGTACCAGCACCAGTCCCAAAGCGCTCAGGACCAGATGGAAGGGTCTACTTCTAACATTCAACCATCATCCAAAACAGCTCACAAAGTTGGAAAGTCCCTGGGTTCAAGCAAGGGCATCTTCACCAATCAATTCCAGAAACTTGCTCAAATTAATGGAGGTAAGTTTATGGCATTCTATTTGAGTGTTATTTCTTTTATCACATGGAAGCACACGTTACCTGTGTCATCAGATATGAAATCTGCACCTGCCTGATTAAGTTCACTTAATGCTAAAGCTATGCTTAGGGCTAGTCAAACACTCAGGTAGGTGGGTAATTGAGTGAATGGGTGGTAGAGTGAGTGAGAGCATTGTTTTATGAAGCTTGTAGCTAAATTCCAGCATTTAATCATGGCAGAGGACAATTTGGGTAGATATCCTTATTGGTTATTCCCTTTTGGCTCATTAAACATTTCAGGTTTATTGCCACTACTGTTTTGGAAGCTTTAATTAAACATAATCGTAAAACTGCAAAAAAAAAGACTCATGAAATGTGGCTTCGTTGAGCTGCTGATTACATCACAGCTCCATGCGTTGATCGCCTCCAGTCCTCCCATGTTTGTGTTTATTTTAAAAGCATTAAATCAGGCACACATGATTTTCCCGATTATGCCAGTGGACCATTATGGTCACAATTGTTCTTTTTCTGTTTTATTACTGAATCTTGGTGAGACACGTCCATATTAATTTGTTAGTTAATGTTCAGTATCAAATGAGAATTATGATAATGGGCCCACAGTGTGTCTGTAATTGTGTGATGGAGTGGCAGGCTACTCGGTAAGTTAATTCATTCCTTGTATGGAAATACCTGTCTCTGTTGCTTGGAAATGCATTGGTTGTTTGGAATCACTGATGCTAGGGAAGAAAGAGTCTCTGTTCAATAATTTAGAAGCAAGAAGGTTGGGAATGATTTCCATCTACCTAGGCAGCTGTGCGTGTGACACCTTCAATACTATTGTCAAGACAACCAATGTAAAGACATTGATGATTGTGGGATGTTTCCATGGATGATTAGTTTATGAGAAGACATTATTTCCATACACTGGCTGTCATAATATAACTCCTTTATTCGTATCCAACGGGAATAATGCCCATGACAACAAATTATTGTGAAATCATAAACAGTAGAACATTTTACTGTTTGTGCTTTATGGCTCTCTTTGCACTTGGATGGTCTGCTGGGTTGAAACAGAACAATTGTTTCAGGTTCATGAACTGAGAACTGTGATGGTATGAGACTGAATTCAATATCAAGTGTTGAGTAGAAGGAATAAGTGGTTTTACACCATTTAGCAAATTTCCGGCAATCATAATCATGGCAGGGGACACCCAAAATGTGCTTCACACAATTGGAACCTAGGCCTTCACCATCATGAGCTAATGCATGAACCACAAGACCACATCTGGCCCCGATTTCTCGAAACAAACTTAAGTCTGAGTTTTGACTTAAGTAAGAGTTTTTACTCAAATTTGAGAAAACGCAGGAAAATGCATTTCCCAGAATGAACTAAAATCGATATGAAACTCAAATTTAGTAGACAATTTGAGTTTGGTGGATAGATTACTTAAGTTGTTGGGGGCTTTTTTATTTTAAAAAGGCAGTTGAGTTAAATATTCAGCTGTTTCAAATTGTCAAACTCAGTTTGAAATTTGAGTAAAAACTTTAGTTTGTATCAAGAAATCGGGGCATGGTCTCATGACTGTATCAGTGTCTAATGCTGCACTCAGCTAGTCTGGACGCGACAATCTCGTGATTGACGTCACACACATCAATTGTCACAATTAGTACTTAGGATAGCATTACCTAATTTCAGAGGCATTTGAGTAAAAAATTCCTATGTAGAGTTGCAAATTCAGTTGAAAGTCCCTTGGTCCTCTCATAATGAAATGAGTAAATTGTTCAGAGGTTAAATAAAAGGTACCCATGGAAAAAGCCTCAGTCAGCAATATGACAGTTAAGCCAGTGGTTGATAGCAAGAGTGTGTTACCCAGCTCTTTCATGATGCTACCCGAGAAGATCCGGGTTAGAATTGATCTTCAGTAACCCATGCTTGTCGTAATAGGTGACAAACGGGATCGGGTGGTCAGGATCGCTGACTTGGTTGACACATCATTGTATCACAGTTGCGTAGATCGATGTTCATGCTGTTGATCCCTTGATTGTCTTGTCCAGACTTAATTATTTACAGACTGCCGCCATATAGCTGGAATATTGCTGAGTGAGGCGTAAAACTAAACTCACTCACTCACTCTTTCATCATGCAATATGGGTGATGAGGCCAGCAAGACAGAGACGCAAGTCAAGAACAGTGATGTAACATTTGAGCTTGTGTGTTGTTACAAAATACATGGATCATGTGTCAGATGATGAGATGAGTTGAAAACTTTTCAATTAAGTCCTATTGTGCAGACAACTGATCATATTAAGTTCAATTGCAAGAAGTTTTTAAAAACTTTGTTACATTAATGAACTAACTTCAAATTATATGGCATGTTGTTAATATTACTATTAGTATGTTTTTATTGTGTTTTGAAATTGTGTTTACCACTTGGCCTAATTTAATGTTGTTTCTGGGGAAAACTGATGTCAGAAGCCATCATGGGATAGTTAGGTTAAGATACATAATATGACGCAATATTGCTGTGCAGTACAAAGTACCAGCAGTTGTGCTTCACAATCTTTTCATATGGTGGGCTGATAAAAACTGATAATTTCTACTCAAAACAGGTCAGACAATTTGCTATCGTTTCTCCCTATTTGATAAAATCTTTATCAGTATTTTTTTCTCTGCTCCAAATGTACAAAACAATGCTACACTTGTACATTACTTCATCAGATAAGATTTGATAATTCATAGTTATGATTCTTGGTTATTCAGCTGAGAAGCTAGTTGATAACCTTCTCTTACTAGGAAGTCTGCCTGTAATATTTATGAATATAAGAGCTGCAAATCATGACAAGGGAATATATTTAGATTCAAGTCACTTTAAGAACAGTTAAAAACTTCACACATTATATCTTGTGTGTGTCATGGCTTACAGTAGTCACAATGATAGCTTTCAGGCTTTCCTATGCATACCTGGCATGTGTTTTTCTGTATGAAGAACACATTGAATATAATATGAATATACCTGTGGATATATGTAATGCATGTGTGCCAGAACTTGATATTTGTATTAATAGTGCTATCTTTCAATGAACTGGCAATCTGCCTGAACCTGTTTCAACCTTCCTAGCAATGGACTAAATATTTTTGTCTCTATGAAAAAAAAGCATTATTAAGTTGTTATGTTATATATTAAGTATCTTTTACTTTGTTTCATCAGTAACTCTGATAGTCATTTTGACACATATTTTACTGTATGGCTCCAAAATAAATTTGTTTTGTACCATTCAGTTAAAAATTTGAAATGAAGAAAAGTAAAAAAAATTAAATGTGTTATTTACTGAAATTGAATATTTGTATTAATATAAAAGAGTCAGATAACCTTTTCCCCCTTTTTGTGTACTTTATGATCAATACTGTGTAAGGTATTTGGAATTCACCTCTCTGTGCCTAATAGTTTAAAATAAACAAGACAAGGGTTCGAGACAGATAAATATTGATAAATTTGAATTTAAGGGCATTTCCTGCATAAATCAATGTTTTATGAGTTATACAAGCTACATAAACCCAATAGTTTTTTATTGTGAGACACTCTGCTCAATATTTGTGTTTGAATAGAATTGTGAGTGATTAAATATGGTGGTCTTGCAGACCCAATGTTGGGTTGAAATAACCTGCTTGATGAACCAATGGCGAGACATTCATACATAATGTCTATAGATATAGCTCTATATCCCAGCAAACTCCTTACAAGTACAAACAATTTTCCTCTGATTTCAGGCCGGTTGGCCCACATGTTTATGGAAGTTTGCAGAATCACTAGGCATTATGGTTTAGTAGGCCGAACCCTATACTGAGAAATGTCCTCGTGTCAAATGATAGAATTTGTCTTTCAGTCCCCTTGACTACCGGTTGCCAGGGCCATGACTTCCCGATTGTGTGCTTGCTTAAGATCTTTGACTGGCGAAAACTTTTGATATATCTTAATTCAATTGAACAGCTTACCCGGGTTGGCAGATTTCACAGAAACATTAGGTGGTGTAACAGTGATTACGATTTCTATGCCCATGCCCTGTTTGTCAACTCTATTGGAAAATCCTCTATAGTTCCATTGGTTGCCATGGTGTCATGAGCCCAAGCAAAGAATTAGTGACGATCAGGTTTATTATGGGTCTCTCTCTCTCTCCAAAATACTGGAATTTCTGGTTTGGGCTGTCAGCCAATAAATATTGAGGTTTGTAAGGAGACACGTTTGTCTAAAAGTTTGCCTGAGCTAATTGCTGTTTAGCTATCTATAATACTGTCACACACCCTTGGATGGTATAATGCTCAAGTGTGGTCAATGAAAAGGTTGTTATGGTATTTGTCAGATATTTGGTGTGTTTTATTTGGGCTCTCATTAAATGATATTAGATCCAATTTATGACAGTGTTAACTGAGGAAATATGGTGGTTCTTTTTATGTTTGTCTGAGATAAATTCAGTGAGTTTGACAAAACTTGTTGGCCTTTTTATTACTTTTTCTAACTCTTTTGGGGATCTTTCAAACATGATTTCAAAAGTAAACAACCCTTCATAACATTTTTTATGAGTCCTTTAATCTCTCCAACTTTGGAGGATCGCAGAAAGAATAAAACTTGGCATATTAATCCTCTTTGACTCCTCAAAATATGGATGTGGAAAGGAGTATGAGGATGAGAAAATAACCTCGGTCTGAACTGTGACCTGCAGTGTAAATACTGTTAGCATTGGAATAGAGCAAGAGAAAATAACCATTGTTTGTCCATGTGTTGTATCACTGACCAGCTGGGTCATTGGGGCTGGTAATTCAGACCATGCCTCGCCTACCTGTGATATAAGCTGACCACTCCCCTCCAGCTACAGACACGCCTTCTCTAGGAAACTGATCCTTCAACACTGCCCAGTTAAAGTGCATGTGGACTTGATGCAGTTCTCTGGGTAGTATCATAAGGGTTTCTTCTTAGTAGCTCCACTCAGCTGTTTTCCTTGTGTTT